CCTGGACAATCCATCACAATCCAGTGCAAATCAAGTTCTGATTATGAAAGTCTGCAATTAAAAAAGGGCATCAACGAGGAGACTATAATTTTTACTAAACACAGAGACACGGGAAAGGAAACTATTAATACAGAAATGATACATAGAGTTCAAACACATGGAAAATCCCTAAATGTGGATATTCTCATCAAAGACTTGAATGAAAATGACACGGATGTATACTGGTGTATGTATACTAAACTAAGTGCTACTTATACAGAAGTTACCGAAAAAGGACAGGGATCCATACTGCTGGTTGTTGCTGGTGAGTTCTTTTTTTTTCTACTTTACTGCCTCCACTGTAGATCAACAAACCTTAATCAGCTACAATATAATCCTGCATGACGTGTAAATAGAGATATGAACTACCTGCAGACAGCTTAATTTCAGCGAATTGGTTTTAGATACAAACACACAGATTAACGCAACTTTTGCAGACAAAGATTGTCACATTGTGTTTATTACTATTCTATCTTTTTTGTCTGGCTGGTTTGAACATTCTGATAGAAAGAAAACAGATACTACAAGCAAAATGACATCCATTAAAAAAAAGATTTTTTAAAGTTTTAGACTTAGACAACTTGTCATTTTGTATACTTTTACTTTTACTGTGGAGAAAACAGTATATTATTTTGCTTTTTAAGGGAGTAAGCCACATAAGGAAGATGTACGTGGACAACCGAATCTAAACATGACCGTGGTATATATTGTCATCGCTGTTGGCGTCCTGCTTATCATCATGCTGGTAGTCATCTGTAGGACCATGCAAAAGGTAACAGTTCAGTTGCTTTTTCTCTTGTTTATATTTAAAAGTTCACTGTTTCTGTTTCACTCACCACTGCTGCTTGGGTCTCTGGGGATGGTCCTGATTCTGTCAGACATGTTGTTTGCAAATGTCATTCACACACCATGAATGACATTTTATAGTTGAACTGAAAGTTCAACTATAAAGTTATATAGTTAGACAGAATTTACTAACCTCCTCTTATTTTTTTGTTCAAATTACCTCCCTCTATAAAATGAAAAATATAGAAAAACAGTACTCTATTACATTAACTTAAAAATTAATTCAAATATGTTTTTTAATACTTTTAACAGCAAAAATATTTAGAATACTTTGAAAATCTTTTTACTTATACTATGTATAAAGTATATAAGAATGAACGGTGCAGAAAGCAGCTCCATTTCTTGTCGAGTTTTTAAAATAATTTGATAGTTTCTTGTTTCTACCTGAAGTCTTATCCTAATAATGCTGAATATTCTTGGCGATGGCCTATTTAACACGCTTCATAAAGCTTCTAATGCAAAATGAAAATGTAGTACACACTTCCTGAAGACAATTAAAAAACAAAATACATCGTGTGTGCTGGAAAATATAGGATTGCAATTTTAAAACCACAAAGCACATTTAATAAAGACTAAATTAACTTTTCATGTCATTGTGAATATCAAAAGGAAGGTTAAAATATGAGTTCATAGTATTAAAAGTCTTTGGGAAGAACTTCTAGTGTGTTGATGAAACAGCTAAAAATTCTCCATCTCATTTTGATTTAGGACATCACAGTAATGTTACGAATATAAATGGATGTGAGGATCTGAGAAAATAATAATTTTTGTGGACCTGTACATATTACACAATTATCTTGTCCACTAACCCTAGACAATGTAGATCAAACCTTACAGTAAACTATGGATGAGTTTAAAACCAAAATCTACTGCATTAGGTTTTAACACCATGATGTTGTATGGTGAGAGGACAGACTTTGATGCTTGACCACAACCACATGCTTTGATGCAGAAAAGTATTTCCACAACTTTTGATCCCATATGTCTAAAGTCTATGCAGAGTGAATATGAAATCTGTAATTCAAAAGCTTTAGGAGAAGTTTGCTATGATATGAAACGAGTAAAGGAAAAATTGCAGATTTTGGTTTAGGCCATAATTTCATCAGACCTTTTTATGAGTCTTTTTGGTATATTCATGTTTACCAAACTTCATAATCCTTAATAAAAACATGGCTTGGTTGCTGCTTTGATTTTGTCTATGTTGAGATGTCTGAATGTGAGATATCCGAATTTGAAGTTTGGCAATGCCCACAAGCTTTGTCACAGCAAAAATCTTTTGATAACTTTTGAATCCCTAATACCTCAAGTCTTGGCTCAGTCAGTTAGAAGTTTGTAGCTCAAAAGCTCTAGGAGGAGTTTGCCCAGATACGTAATGAAGGTAAAAAAGAAAACGGGTGGCTTTGATTCAAAATGGCTGACTTCCTGAGGGATTTGGCTCAAAGAGACTTTTTTTATATATATATATATAGGTTTTGGTGTTTATCATTCTCGGTCAAAGCACGACCCAAGGTTCCCCTTTTATGTTATGGTGAAATGACCAATTTTGACACCGCATGCTTTGATTAAAAAAAATAATTTTCATAACTTTTGAAAACCGATGCCTAAGGACAATGTAGAGTGAATTTAAATTCTGTAACTCAAAATATAAACTCAAAAGAAGGAGTTCAATATGAACAGTAACTGAGAGAAAATGACACATTTGATCCAAAATGGCTGATTTTTTGTGTTGTTTGGACCATAGCCACAGGATACTTTTTTGAAGATCCAGGAGGCATACACATGTGTGCCAAGTTTCATAATCCTCTGTATAAGCATGGCTTGGGGCTGGTTCTTTTAATGTTTCCAGGGGGCGATGTAGAGATATTAAGCCACACTACCAAATATTGCACTGGATTATATTTGTGTGGGGTTGAACTAACATCCAAACACTCGCCTTAAACAAATTTAGACCAACATGTTATCTGCCTTCTGACCTGGTTTCAATTAGATGGGGTTAAAAATGTCAGAAAGGGACCCTCCCAAATGAAAAAAGTGACATTTTTCTGTCAGGCATTAGGGCTTTGATGATATCACCATTTGGCCGGCCGATATCATCAGAAACCAAAAGGGTATCAATAATACCAAACTTCAATTTCATTTGATCTAGATTTTTTTGGAAAAAAGTTCTAAACATCAAATTGCTTGAAAAGAACGCTAACTTTGGGGTCTGCCCACTCCTGTTCAAAACTCTCAAAACCTCACGATTTTGATCACTTTAAATCTCAAATGCCTTATTTGCATGCTGACTAAGTGCAATGTGGCTTGCTTAAAATCTTTAGGAGTTTATTCAAGTTTGACACAAACAAAAACAAAAAATTTAACTTTGATGCGAAAGGACTGTCTTCCTGTGGGATTTAGGCCACTCCTCCAATTGACAAGTGAGATTGGTTTTCCCAATCTCACTTTAGGGGGCGCTGTTGAGGTATTTGGCCATGCCCATTTCTGATTCCATTCAAATACATACATTTCAGACAGGGGACAATTTTCTGTAAATTTTGTTGAGTTTTTCAAGATTTTAAAGTCACCAAATACGTGTTTAATTTGGGAGAAATATAATAAACAATCAAAATACAAAATACAGGTATCGCTACTCTGGCCTAAATATCTAGGATGTGGTTAAATCCAGTAAACTGAAGCTTGCTGTAATGAGGATTAGTTAAAGTAATTAGTCGGGTTTTGCATCTTCTTTTGTTGTCACAGTGTATTTCTGGTTGCTGTCATTGGATCAGTTCTCAGAGGCTGGAGTGTCCTCTAGTTTAGCATGATGGTTTATGATATGTTGCTCAGGGTTTCCTGGCACTTTACACTTTGTCTGGTAATTTCTAGGTTTGGGTTTTAGGCCATTTGCTGAGCAGGTTCTCTTTTACTCCATGTTTTTCATGACAGGAAACCTAAATATATAACAAGAATGTTTCTTCAGCCTCACCACATAGCTTAGCTACATTTTTTTTTCTTTAGCAAGCAATTTCCTCAGTGTTGTTTGTTCACACACAGACTTTATTGTCACACAAAAAAGTCAATTTCTTTCCTCCAAAATTGCCGTTTAAACAAACTCTCTGGAAGAGTAAGATGCCACAACTATGCCTTTTTAATTGTTTGTCCTATAATAAGGCACTGACCTGTAACAGTAACCTAACACGACTGATCCTGAACATAGATATTTTATATTAGCAAATAGAATGTTCTGAATATTCTGACAGTTAGGGGTCTAAAAAAGCAAATAAACAAAATTCAATATAAGGCCAGAAAAAAAAAGAAAATATCTACAAGGGACATGTCAAATGTCAAAGTGGAATCTTCTTTGTTTCGTGGGAAATCTACTTCTATAATCATCTGCTGAATTGAGAAACAGATCTGATAAAAAAAAAAAGCCTTAATTTGAAGTATCATACTTTTTATTGTAAAAAAAAAAAACAAAGAAAAAAAACAAAAAAAAAACAGATTCCACTAAGTGTTCAAACAGCCTCTTGGATTACATCCTAATGGGTTTATTATTTTCAAATCATGAGCTGATCTTGGCTTCCTGCCAGTTAATGCTGAGACTGTACTGCAAAAGTCAACATTTTCACACTTTGATGTGAAGAGGAAATAAGCTGTGTTAAAATGAAAACTCAGAAATGCAAATCAGTATCAGACAAAAGGTCTGCACAACCTTTAAGGCTAAAGAAATAGTTTGAATCTGAAACAGAAACAGTGGAGTTTCCTTTAAACAGCTTTTATTACACTGTTATGATTTTACATAACAAACCTGGGTCATGTATACAGTACTTCTCTTGCTTTGAAATGAGTTAGAATGCATTAGTCTGCACTTCAATTCTTAAAACAGGGTTTAAAATAGCTGATTGTGGTCAACGTCATAAAGTCCTGCAACTACCCTAATCACACTGTTGCTCTTGAGCAAATATCTTAATTGCAAAACATTTATTAGATGAATTTTCAGAACTTTTACCTTTTGTTCCAAACATCTTTCAGTTGACCAATGCAATATGTATATATTTCATTTCTGTTTCAAAGCAATCTAACATGCTGACAATCTTTTTTTGCCAGACCAAGACCTCATTAAACACAGTGAAACCACGGCGCATTGAAAATACCAATGATGTTTATGAGGACATGCGAGGAACGATCAGGCGCTAATGATGCAAGACTGCAGGACAATGCCATGCATGAAACTCTTTAAACCATAAACCACTGAAGCAAAAGGGATGCATGTTATGCAACATGTCAGTTCCTACACCTCTTCAAGAAATTCTCCCCCTGAAAAACTTATAAACTGTTTGTTTATAAGAGTGGGTCAGAAAGAAATCAAGAAGAGACAGTGACAGTGAATTGGTGTTTGTATTTTTGTAAATATTGTATTGTTAAATTTATCATGTGTAGAATAGAATAAATAAAAGTTATATAGTTTGTTTTTTTTTTTTTTTTTTTTGTTATTTGAATTTTGTATAAACATTGAAAATCACTTAAAACTGAAGGCAAATTGTTTAAGAGTTTTAAACAATCCCATATCCTTTCCTGTTCCCAGATTTCTGAGATGTCTTTGGTAATCATTCTATAAAAAAGCATCTAAGTCAGAAGTCTTCCAAAACATTTTCAAAGCTTACAAATATTTTGAAAATATCTTTTTTAGAATTTTACATCACTGTTATTGATTTTGAGATGTAACGTACCACCAAACCATGATGCCTCCAATGCCATGTAATTCAGCTGGACAGAGATTTGATGATTTGTGAGCTAAATTTCTCAATTCACTCAGTTTTTAAAAGTTTTTTTTTTATTTGAGAAGGTTTGCAAAGATAGACTTTAATATGAATCACCTTTAAGTAAATGCCAATGTATTTGGTTTCACGTTCAACTTAGAACCTCTACGTGCAAAATAGTTTTGGGTCAGGAAATCTCTATTATTATGCACCAATATGATCATTAGGAAAAGCTGGTTTACAAACACCACTTAAAAACTGAGTTTCTCCAGATATCAAACTCCAAGTATATTTTAAGATGGTGTTTGCATTTACTTCCAGCTTAACATGGTAATACTAACCTTATTGTATGAAGGAGTCGACAGTGCAATGGTCTGTGTTTATTTTCGATTAGAAAACTATGTATATAAATACTATGTATACATTTTGGATACTGCGTTAAAGTTAATTGTAAAAATAAATTGTACGTATTTTTATTTTTTTTT